CAAAAAAAATCAAGTGTTGAGGTCAGCAGATGGCATAACGGTTATGTTGCCGGACCCCCACATGGCTGACTGTGGTTTGCATCCCAGCTCGGGGGCTTGAACTCATGCCAGGCACATGTACAAGCACGTGCAAGCCCCTGGGAGGACAGTGGAGGAGAAGGGAGTGCAGTGTGGCCATTCCCGGGGCTGATTTCTCACTGTCTCTCTCACTGACTCTGTCTCTGTCTCTCCCTCCAGTAGGTTCACACACCCTAAAGCAAAAACCTCTAAAAAAAAATCAAATTTCAAACCTCTTTTACAATGTGACCCCCATTTACAGAACAAAGCCACTGTGTCAATGCACATCTCTGTGCTGCATGTCAGAAAACGAGCAGGAGAACTGAAGAAATACACAATATGGACCAGCCCCGGCTGAGTGGTTAAGGGGGCTGGATCTCTCACGGCCAACCAAATGGTTCAAATCCTGGTCCCAGCAGCTTGGAGAAAGCTGGGAGCGTGTACATATGTCCCCCAAATCCCAACGGGATGGAGAAAGGGAGACCGTGCTCTACTGGGGTGTTTCCCCCTGTCCCCACCCCCCGTGTCTCTGTCTCTCTCTTGCAAGCACACATGCCCTCTGGGAAAACAACAGAAAGAGCAGTGCAGGCGGCGTGCGCAGCGGTGGCTCCGGGCGGGGCCTGTGCCAGCACTCACGGGTGTGACTGTGGGGCGGCAGCTGCTGCTCTGGAGCACCGTCCCCCCCACAGTACTTTCTACAACCAGGAGGGGACGGTGCCTGTTTGGGGTGGAGGCACTTGCCACCCGCAGCCCCTCCACCTCGGGATGGCAGGTCCTCGTCTCTTGCTGCACCTCTCCCAAGGGCCCTGTGCACAGGACAGGCGCAGCGTGTGAGGAGCGGGCGCAGACTCACCAAGACGAAGAAGTAGCAGGGCTGGGGCACGCCGAACTGCCCCGGGAAGACGGCCTCCACATACCAGGTCACCAGGCCGTAGAGCACCGCGTCCAGCAGCAGCATGCCCAGCACTTGCCCAAAGCAGAGGTCGTCATCCACGTTGACGGGACTCAGGAGGTCTCGCCACTGCACACCGGTGCCTGGAAGATGCCGAGGCTGAGCAGGCTGCGAGGTGGCTGGAGCCACCACCCTAGACGTGCACACGGTCACAGACGTACACACGGTCACAGACGTGTACACACGGTCACAGACGTACACACAGACACACACACATACACACACATACAGACATACACACA